TTTAGTCATAATCTAATATTTTTTATTTAGACATTTTTCATGAACGTCAAAATACACAGTCTAATGAACATTAGCTATTGGGAATTTAGCAAGCCTTGCAATGGGAAGTGAGAATATTATTTATTACCTAGGGCCTAAGGCAATAAAAATTTTAGTTTCCAAAATATTGGAAAAAATCGATTTTCATTTCTAACTTCAACATTATGTAACTTTGTACTTTTGTACAGTTCAATCGACCTATTTTTTTCTAACATGAAAAAAAATTGTATTATAATTATATGTAATATTGCAACGGTTTTATTTTCCCGTTTTCTAAACATTATTAGTTACGTTTTTTTAAGTGATTCACTAAACGTTTATTATATGCCCACCAAATAATCTTTTATTACGGATTAATTAAACATATATTTTTAAACAAGAAATAAACCTGATCTTTATGAAATAATGAAACGTTTATTATATGTAACAATTAAACGTTTATTATATAAATTAACTTTAATTTTTAATTAAAAATATAAACAAAACGTTAAAGTGTTCGGATACAATAACGTTTTTTTTTTTCGACTTTTATATAATTTAAACTAACGGTAATATTATACGTATATTTAACAAAATTATCAACTTTTAGTTACATAACAACGTTTAAAACAATATTAAAATATACTTATTTAATTAATATCGAAACAAAGTAGATATTTGGTTTCCATTATTAAGCAAACTTTAAACAGTTTGAATACAATAACGTTTTCTATACGACTTATATTTAATTTAAACGTTGATATATGTATATTTAACAAAATTATCAACTTTTAGTTATATAACAACATTTAAATATAATATTAACATATAGCTAAATAATTAACATTAAAATAACGTTAATATTTTTTTAAATATAAACGATACGTTAAAGTGTCAAATACAATAACGTTTTAATTTCGACTCTTATGTAATTTAAACATCGTCCGGAAAGAAGTAGCATTTATATAAGAAAATCACATAAAAATAAAAAATAACATTATGAACGTAGGCTCTTAAAATATATTAATAATTCTATTATTATGGTGAGAATTATATTTATTGCTAAATCTCGAAAATAATGCCAGTGGGCTTTTCTTTATTATTATGAAATATAAAAATTTCGCGCCCGAATGGCTGGCGCCCGAACAGCCGCGCCCTACCGACCGCGAGCTCGATTGACCCCGCGCCCGTACGGCGGAGCCCGAACGGCCGCGCCCGAACGGCGGCGCCCGAACGGCGGCGCCCGAACGGCCGCGCCCGATTGTCCGACTCCCCCCCCCCCCCAAGACAATGTTGACAATTTAATAAGAAGTATGCCAAGGCGAATAGAAGCTTCCATAAGTGTTAGAGGTGATAACACGGATTGTTAAAATTAGCAATTTTCTTTCTGTTTTTGCTTTTCGGCTATTAAAAATTTAAATCTCATTTCGTTTCAGGAACCAAAAAATACCACTGTGTTTATTTTGTCAACTAATTAATTATTTTTATTGCTATGTGGGTTATTTGTCATTAAAAGTCTTTGGTAAGGACCGAGTTTTATTCATAAACAAAAAAATGTTCATACATCTCAAAAATTATGAAAAATAATAGATGATTCCATATAAGTTTGGTTGTGTGTATGTTTTTAATGAAATCCTCATGCGACCAAAATACATTTTCCCAAACAATAATCTAAATAATAATTATTGTAATTCCTCTATTTGTTTTAATTATGTTCTGATATACTTTAAATTTCTCTGTTTTCATTCCCTCACTAGGCCATAATTTAATTCTAATCTAGTGAGAGTAATAACGTCTATATGGAATTAAAAGAAGTTAAATTACATACAAAAGTATATAACACCGTACATAGTTGGAGTTCACAAAAAAGTATCTAGAAGTAAGAAAATAACTAAACTAAGAAAACCATTTATCTAAAATACATAAAAAAGTAGTTGAAACAAATTAATTAAATTGATTATAGTGATAGCAAGTCTACATAAAAAGATGACAAGGGTATAAACACATAGAAAACATTTTAGATAAACAAATTTGCTAAATTATATATTCTAGATAATTAAAATAAATGAATATTTAAGCTTTTCAGAAAAATTATTCAAATGTTCTAGAAACATAAATTTCAGAAAAAAAGTTTAAATGTAGCAGCTGCACAGATTCTGAAATTTATTTTTATCTAGAATAGTAACATGAAGTTTTATTTACTTAAACTTTTTACCTGGTCTATTTAAAAATTTGAAAATTTCAGTTGAACTTCTCCTTTAGTGTACCTTTACCAATTTATTTTAAAAAGTTATTTTTAGGCATTGAAATTAATTAATTGGTTTCCGTCACTTTGACAATATCACATTCTATTGGTCTCTGATGTTACGTTTACTCCAATTCGCTTGATAAATCAAAGATAGAATTTGATTTATAAACAGCCCTCTTTAGACTAGGCCATTTGCAAATACATTTAGTTATTTCAAATAAAGTTCCCATGAAATTATTATTGTTGGCAACCAGTTGTTTAATAATAACTTAATTTACTTCTTGAGCCACTTGCCAACATTTTTATTAGATATATTCGAACGAACATTATCTAGAACAAAATACCAAAATCCAAATAAATGGCTAACTTTACTTAAAATAATAGATATACAGTGCTGATAAGATCAAACCCTACGGTCCTGCTTTTCATGTGTTGACACGAATAGTAAATGGCGCTCGCATATGCAGGAAGAAAAACTTAACCTAAAGCTTGATGTGGCCAGCACTATACATCTATTAGGATATCTGGACTTATTTTTTCATAGAGTAGGTAAATAAAGACATAAAACAGAAAAAATATTAAATGCATTCCGGACACTCTTAGAAAATGTATTATTGTGCATCACGATGCCGTTTGTGTAAGGTGTTTAGTGTATAGTAGCGTCTTACCCTAACCATTGAAAATTAGAACAAATAATGTTTCTTAAGTCTTTTTGTATTGCAGGAATAATTGAATGATATTTATTGAATTTATAAAATATCGTTCAGATTATATTATTAGATTGATAAAAAGTCTTTACTCCTTATAAATAAAAACTAAATGAATTAAGTTATTTAAATTACATACAAAAATATGTCAACACGTGTGATGTAGAGTATAAAGTCGTATCGTATAATATACTGATGCGGTAAACTCTTGTAGGACAGTCCTGAATCACCGTGAATGTCAACTCGGGCTGAGTCCAACTCATAAAAAAATTGTAAAATATCACAGAATAAATAAACAATTTTGTTTTGTAAAAAAAAATTTTGTCAAAAAAACAATTGCCAAAAAAATAAAAAAAATAAATTTGTCCATACTCAATATACTTCCCCTGCTCGCCAAGCGCATGTGCTACCGATGGCTATAGATATACTATTAACATGTGGTGTCGCGAGCTGGGAAGATTTTACCCATCCGAAAAACGCCTAATGTGCCTATAGAAGTTTTCATTTGAAAATTTTTGTCCAAATGTAATGAAAATAGGAGTGGCAAAAAATTGATCGAAAATAGTAGTTTGTGCAACAAGAGTGGATATGATGGCCATATCCAGAGATGTGAACTGGTAAATTACCGATAAATTACCGTGGTAATTTACCGTCATTAAACAAAAATAAATTACAGTAATTAACTCGTAATTTACAAAGTAAATTACCGATTTTTGTGGTAAAAATTTACATTATTTACCGTTATTTACCATTATCAGAGATTACCGTAGTAATTTACCGTAATTAATCAGAAATAAATTACAGTAATTTACTTGTAATTTACAAAGTAAATTACCGACTTTTGTGTCAAAAAAATTACATTATTTACCGTTATGTACCATTATGTACGGCATTTTCTTGTAATTTACCATATTTCGGGAAAGCGACGCCGAATTTCGTTGAAAATAAGCATTGGATAACTGCTCTTCATTAAAAGTTCCCTCAAGGCATCAGTTATCAAATAAATTACTAAACAGTGAATATGATCGTGTAAAAAAGTTCGTGAACGAAAAAATTCATACTGCTAAGACTGTAGGGATTCAAATTGATGGTTGGTCTAATATTCGCAATGAATCTATAGTTAATGTCCTCCTTACGGTAATTTCCAGATTTTGTAACTGAGATACTGTTTGTTCTTAGTTTTTGATGGTATGTAGGTACTTTTTTAAATAAAATATATGGTAATTATTTCAAGTTGAAGTTTTATTTTGTTCGGATTTTTAAAAATTTGTCCGAAATATTTATTAGGAATGTCAGAAAATTGTATTTTGTAATATGGTAATCCTATTCTTACCACACCTGAGCCTGTGTTATATAAAATAGTAGATACGAAAGCAGCTCGTCATGAAGCAACATTCATGTGCAACATCCGAATTAATTGATGAAATAGGCTTAGAAAAAATATGTCAATTACAACAGACAATGAAAGAAACATGACAGCCAGCTGGAATTTACTTGCAGAAAAGTATTGCCATTTATAGATCTCTACGATTGCTCGACGCTCTCATTTATTAGGAGATTTGTGTTCGGCGAGTATCGGCTAACACCGGCCGATATAAGAGAAGAACCTCTTGGAGCCGTTGTCAACTACATTAAATCTGTAGGCTGGCTCACGGGCTAGGAGATGAATATCATCTTAGGAGGATGCATAATGGGCCTAGTGAGGCCTTAGTGCCGTGGGGGTAACCCACCCTCCACACGTTACAGATTCAGAATCCCATTCTAAGTTTATATAAATTTGAGCAAACAAAGGAATCAGAAAGAGGAGAGGTAGGGAAGTCGACCCTTACTGGAAGACACAAATAAAATTGTTTTCTTTTTTTTATTATTATAAATTTGTAGTTGAACCCAGCCTGAGTGTAATTTTTGATGGAATGACAGCAACAGAAGTTTTCCATATCAATAAATTAATTTATTGACGTATTAAGTAATCAATAATTAATGTATGTTATTCTAAATAAAAAAATAGTTGCATTCCTCTTACCTACCTGTTCTGGAGACACTGATGGGTCGCTACTAGATTCTATCGAAGAGGTAGATGATGTTTCAGAACATTCTTCTTCTATCAATGGTTCTAAGGTCATTCTAGGAAGCAGGCCTCTCATGATGGCCCCACTAATAGGTTGCGCCATTAACAGTTCATCCATCATTATCTCTGTTTCGTCTCCGTAATCTGATGATATCGATCCGCCATTTGACTTAAATATTAAGTGATTGTTTAATTTTTTTAAGAAACAAGATTATGGGATTAAATACTGCCATATAACATTAAATTAAGTCATTAAAATAAACATTTTAAAATAACATTAATCAAAAAATTAAAAAATAGGAATGATACAAAATTAAAAAATGCAAATCCAAGTCTATTTTTGTCTATTTTTTCTTGTGAATCACGCAGTATACCTGTCAGTTTTCACCACCAAGGTCACGAGATCTAAGCTTGCGGTTTACAAAAAGTTTCCTTTGCAAGCGCCTTTAAACACAGGGTTGTTAATTGCAAGAGTAGAGCAGGCTGCAGAAACAAATAGAGGAAACAACGTCTATGTCGAGCGAGGCATTATATCGTAGATATAGATATAATACCTACAGATAATAGTAGTTTATGTTACAAGAAGAAAAAGCTGAGTTTTCAGGAGAATACGTAAAGTGACAATACAAAACGGGTCAATACGTAACGTTTCCTTTATAGTGCCGTTTTTCTGTTTGATTCAGACCAACATTAACGAAGAATGTCCTTTTGGTTTTGCCACTGATTTTTTATCCAACGTTAATCTACGTCACGTCTCTTTCATATTACCGTTTGTTCCATTTAATTCGGACCAATATTAGTTAAGATACTAATTAATGTCCTTTTGACATTACCACTGTGCATGATTTTTCTCTTCAACGGTAATCTACGTCACGTCTCCCTTATAATACCGTTTTTCCTGGTCGATTTGGACCAATAATAGCAGAGAAATTAGGTAATGCCCTTTTTTCATTGTTTTCGTTTATCTCGTATATAGTAGTGTACCTATACTCGTTCATTTTACCGATGGTTGCCATCTTGGATTGCTTAGCTGATTCGCAAAGCATTGATCCAAGCTCAGATTCTTAACACCGACAGGTGGTGATATCTCGTGGTGATTTTTGAAAGTAGTGTGTCCGAAGTGGCATAGCCAGGGCTGGTATATCTAAGGGGGTCGCGACATAGGAGTCCATTTTGGACGCCATTTTTTTCGAAATAGTAGTCGCCCATTGATCTGGCAACGTAGCAACCTGTAGCCGCCAGGCTTACCAATATAAGAAAAGAATCAATGTTTTATTTTTAAATGACATTTTCATTATAAAATGCCCATATTTTTTAGGTTAAAATATTTTAATTTAACAAATTAATAATAATCTCACATGTACATAGAATACGTCGTGAAAAGTAGATCAGTAGATCACTTTCAATTTTGTGCTGTTTTGGTTTATTTTAAAAGGTAATTGAGGATATGAAGACAATTTTCTTATAGATGGGGATGCATTACAAATTATGGCTCCCTTTTTTAGAGCTCCAGTCCCCTAAATCTATTTATTTTAGGTCTTTTTAAATTGTTGGTGGGTATTATTCACTTCATTTTTATGTTTTTATTTAATTTAAATAATTTTGTGTAATATCTTGCAATTTTTTTTCTATACATTTTAGCATGTATTTGTAGGCTACATCTTACAAAGAATGGCTTTGAAATACCTTTACAACAGAGGTAGGTACTTTCCTAAAACTGGCCGAAATTTGAAACTGAATACAGTTCTTAAATAAAATCTCCAGTAAAAAAGGTCTGCATGCAGAATAACAGTAGCATAGATTAACAAAGCTGACAAAAGATTTGGACAAACCTTTGTCAAGCTTTTTTAATATTGCAGGACAATAGTGTTAACAGCAGACCACAACAATAACAACCAAAGTTTAGTAATCAAGCAAAATATTTCAGTATCTCCAGAATTATAAACGTATGAAAACTATAATAGGAAACATGTATGGCTTCAAATAGGAAATTACTTAAATTAGCATATCTAGTGAATATTGTATTTAAAGAATATATTTGTAATCAAAACTTTTGTGCTTCTACTCCAATACTAATCATATTACCATATAGAAATGCATTTTATAGTATTAAGCAAGATTCGGATCAAATGTACCCACAATTTATAAATATTAATAAACTAAAATAAAACATTTCAAATAACACCTGTTTTGTATTTAAATCAAACATGTTAAATATATGTTTTTATTAAATACATAAATTAGTCTCAACCACACATTTTTTGTTGTTTTTACTTCTAGTGTAAAAGTGACTACTAATTCACAGTCTTTTAAGTTTATTATTTATAGAGACCAGCTACTACAAAATATTCTATTGATGATAACTAAATTCTCTTTAATAATGGTTTTGCATTTATCAACATTTTACAGCACTTTGTTTATATAAAATATCTATTTAGCTCTTAATTAAATCACATTTAAATCAAGTAATTACATTTTCATATTCAACTTGTATGTACTCTTACTAGAACTTAGTCACTTTTTTTTTAATTTGAATTTTTTGACTGTAGTAACAGTCCATTCACCAAACCACAAACTTAGTCACTTAAAAATGTTGGAAGAGAATGTCATAAAGGTAAAATTCCTTCTTCTATGATGTTTTTCATGCAAACGTTTTGTCCAACACCTTTTTTACAATTTATCACAAGCAACACTATGAAAGATTTAAATCCTGGATTTACAGCATTCAGTTTTGAGATGAGTGCAGCCACAATGCAGTTTCAGAGATAATTTTCACATGAACACTTATTTACCACAGCACAAACGCATGTACCTATTCATATGTAACATTAAAATAAAGTGGAAACAATTGCATAATTCGGTATAAAAAAAAGTACAAAAAACTACGAGGAAAACAGTGGTTCATTCCACTTGTACCATATTGACATTATTTTGCACGATGCAGGACAAACGATAACCGTGGATTTCGCCAAACGAACATCAGAAAAGTGTTGCTAACTTAAGCTACTATTTTTCCCCTAGCCTCAGTCACCCCCTCATCCATTTACTGGGTCTATATCGCGACCCCCTTAGATATACTAGCCCTGTGGCATAGCTACTTTTCTCACACACTTTGACTTTAGATAATACTATCTGTTAAAGCAATATTTAGTAATAAGTAAAAAATCAAATTATTAATATATTTATTAATTTTCAAAATGTTTCTGGATTATTAACGGTAATATTTTCATAAAAAACTGTTTATAGTACATACCTAATTTGCTTTATTATAATTAATTACTACCAAATTAATTTTCTAAAAACGTGACAAATGTTTCTGATCCTTCGTATTTTTTGACGTAGTAATACGAGTTTATTATTTAAGTATTACGGTGACCTTTATGTTTTTAAAGTTTTATATTTCCTTGTAAAACGTTTTGTTTTCATAAAATAATAGTTTTGGTGAATTATGGTGAAGCTGGACCAAGTTTGAAGGAAATTGGAATATCAAAATCCTATTATTCCTATTAGGCATTCCAACGACCTGTCAAAATGCTGCCAGTCGAAACTGACAGTTTAGATATGGCAAACCTGTAGGCCTATTGTCATTAACATTTTGTTTGGAATGCCTAATTACTACCTAGGTTAGTTTATATTTTATGTTAGTTCAATCCATATTATGCGTTCTAGTATAAAGTACATTATATATTAATTTATATATCACTGTATTTGCATATTTATACTATCATTAGTATTTGTAAACATAATATATACTTTTGAAATATTTCTTCCCTTTAACCAAAGTGTAGCTCATTACACTACCTTCTGTAGGTTTTTAAAAGTATAAAATGTTACTTTTATTACTTTTTTTCAATCGAAGAAAGTACCCAGCTAGCACATAACGTTGCCAAGTCTTTAGGCGATGTTGCATTAAGGGAACGTAATAACATTACTCTACAACGTAAATGTAACGTTCATCAGAAGTTGTTGAGAAAAACCTCACAAAACTTCTATTTGTTATTTACCTAGTTAACCTACCTGTGATGTTAATACAACGTAATAAAGTAATTTACTAATATAGTATCCACGAGAAGTACCGTGAACATCACAATTCTGAATTCGGAACGTTTATGTTTATGTCAATTGTCACTCGTCAGTTTTTCTTGTCATTTGTCTTATCTTTTTTGATGGTTTATTTTTTGACTTCCAGAATTTATTTTATAAATAATTATTACTTATACATTCGAGTAGATTTGGTAATGGTCCTCTATAAAATAGAAAACTATTTTCTAAACCATTCTCTTTGTTTCAAATTACAATGCCTGATGTAAATTTATTATTTCATTCATTAGGTATACAAAATGGTTTAACTACAATAAAAACAAAGAATTCCACATAAATCGTTGTAAACGAGAAGATAAATATTTAACCGAATGTCCAGTAACATTTTACACCAAATACTTATAAAAGGTAATTATACTTAATCGAACTAAAAATACAATTTAAAAATAATATATTTTAGGTTTCCTTAGACATTCTAGGAATTTTAGAAGCAAAAGTAAATACTACAGAATTGTCTACAGAAGAATATATAACACCTGAAATTTTATAAAAAGTGAATCTATTGGTACATGGTATGTCAGGTATATCAGAATTCAAGCAGTTCATTCTCTTCAACTGGCTAGATGTGCCTAGAAAAGTAACCATCAGTTCAAGTGCAAACACAGAAGAACAGTTGAGAGAAATCAAAGATGATGCTCTCGAGTATAATAGAATATCTTGCTAAAAAACACGAGTTGTTTTTTATAAAATCTGCATAAAATTTGTAAAATTCAAACAAATTTCAATACTCTAACATTGGTTGTTTTATTTAAATCAACAAAGTAAGGAATATTTTTTAATTTCTATATAATGGGGCATGTTCAAAAATTTTGAAATTTTTTTTATGAATAATAGAGTTGAAAATAAAATTACATTTTTTTTATTTTTTTTTTATCTATTCATTTGCCGGAGTTATGAATTTTTTAAAATTTATGACGTCACCGGGAATAGACCAATAGGAGCTAGCGCACAACGTTGCCGGCTAGAAGGTTTACGAGAAGTGATGTACGTTCGTTTGTGTACTCCTTCTTACTTTTAGACTTCTAAAACATCGTTAAACAAATATCTTTTAAATATATAATATCAATT